CAGATAAGATGAAATCTTATGTTGACAAGAGGAGAAATGCCAGAGAAACGAATCTGAAAGTTGGTGATTACGTCAGAACAAAAAGACCGGTACAACGACATAAACTTCAGTCAACATTGTCTAATCCGAAATCTATTACTCAACGCCTAGGAAAGTCATCGTTTCGTTTAAGTGATGGTAGCTGTTGGAACGCAAGAAGATGTATACGCGCTTACCAAAACCACGATCACGAAGAAAATGATCAATATCCATTTTACCATAATTTCGATAATGTGCTACCAAATGACAATGTTCCTCCTGACATTCCAAATCAGAACAATCGGCGAAATCGTAATCGAGTAGTTCCAGTTCGTAATCATCCACAAAGAATTCGGCATAGACCTGCCTATTTGAACGATTATGTTTAATTGAGTGTTTACAGTAATGCATGCTATTTCATAGGACTTTAAATCGTTCACAGACAGTGATGTTAATTGTTTAGTTTCTCTGGGGTTTCTTTGTGTTTATTGATAGTGTTTAATCATATATGTGCTTAACTAAAAGGGGGGAAAATATGTTGTGTCTAGGTTCGAACGTATGTGACGCCGAAACAGTATATACGCTTCTGGTTGCTTGCTTTGCACGAGGTCACATGACGTCATTCACTTTGTAGTAGGTCGGCGGGCTGACCGCCATTGTTGTAAGAATTTCATGTATAATAAATTTAAGTTTTAATCAACTATGCATCTTTATGGCCATCGCAAACACAACAGAATCCAACTGCGGTAATGCTCTCCCCAAATTGGTTCATTCTGTCCTTTGTACTTAGGGGGAGAAATGTGTAGGCCTACAAATCATATTTGTGTAAAGAAATTAATTGGAGGTACGAATTATTTTTCTAGAAGCCCTTTTAAAAGTGGGGGGAGGGGGCCAATGCCTGGCGTCGTCATCGACCAAGCCCAATCTGAAACAGAAAATCTGTGTGTATTTTGTATAAGACTCTCATATATATTTCTATGCCTTGGGATATTGGAAATTGGTGTGGTGTAAGCTAGAAATACGGTTTCTATCTGTATAGCCTACACAGACACAGTTGTCCAAAGGTGATTACGTGAACTGATTTCAGCCTGATTGGCACATAATACAACAAATTAAACCCCAAGCCGACCAATTTTTATTTAGATCACTGTTAACTTCCGTATAAATCTCTTCAAAAGGACTCGCACACAACTGTGATACCAAATAGGACATTTTACCTTGTAACTCACAAACTAAAAAAGTTTAGATTTTAATGTTTTATCAGGTAGCAAACAACATTCAAATGCATTCTTTCATAAAAATTTCAACTTCAAAGTCCAAATTTTTTTGCACAAAATTGTTGATTTTTGTACAGTTAGATACGAGTAATTCCGAACAAACCGTGACTCTAAGGTATTGAATGTGCCGACTGACTAGACCAATTATCACCAATCAGTGTCAATCAGGATGAATTTTAACTCAGTTATAAAGGTTCCTGAACTGGTTTAAAGATACACTATAAAAGTATCTTCTATAACACCCTACACTAATGTAGGGCCTATTTTTTTTTTTCATTCTTTAATAATAATGGCTACAGACATGTCAATGCAAATAAAATCCATTCTAACTTTAAATCTTTAGTACTGTAGTAGAAATTCTACCAGGCCTATGACAGTGTCCGTTTTGTCTCTCGAAATATGTCCATTTTGACTGAAATATTTGTCCGTTTTGTCATTGGGGCGTTTTGTCTATAGCATAAAAACCATGAAAATTATAACAACACTGCACCCCAGCCCAGAAAAGTTTCATAAATGCCAATTTGTACAATATGATATTTCAATCAGATTAAAATATGAGCAACTTGACTCGCTATGATTTTGTTGGGCGATTCGCGTTCGTCCAAGTCATAAAACTATTTCCTGTCGGGCTATAATGGCATAATGTTTCGACTTTTAACAACAACTAAATCAAAATTACAATGTCAGAACATTGTGAAAAGGTAAGAATTTAAGACCTTCTTGATTGTCAAGTAATCTGTTTTCTTCCAAATGTTCAATTATGCAAATCGAATTGTAAAGGGACAGAAACTGTGGCCGAAGCGTTTCATGGATAGTCTTGGATAGTTGTTCAGAAAGTTATAAGACTTATAATAAGGGCCTATCTGGAGGGAATAAGGGATACCATGGCCCATCTGTCCCTTTATTAAGCTTATACATAGGATTTTAAGTTTTTGTCGTTTATTTATTGCAGGTTTATAAGTGCCACACCAATAGCAAATGGAAAGTTTGAACCCACAGATTTGGTAAGAGAGAGTCATTTTCAGATTTGAGGCTTTTGATTGTCATGCATGATTTGGCTTATCAGTGTGCCATGAGGGAATCTTTGTGGAAACAAAGTTTTCAGATTATATTTGATATTCAACTATTGAAGTTCTTTAATAATCACATCCTGAATTTACCGGTACTTCATCTTTATGACAGTAGTACGCTCTTTCCATGTCAGCTTCTGCTGCATGCATCACATGTTCACAATGTCAATGTCAAGCTATAAAATGTCTTATACCTTGACTACTATAGCCACTGTTCCTGCATCATCGAAGTTTGTACATGCAGTTATTTGATTGGAATGGAATGTACAGCTCTCGACAGAAAATCTGCTGCAGAATTTTTACAGTCTTTCTGTTGAGGATTCAGTTTGGTTGTATTCGCTGGTGTACAATCAAATCACTGTTGAAAATGTTATTATTTATTTGTATTACAGAAAGAAACTCCAGATATACCAGAATATGATCAGATACAATTAGTACTGAAAGGATATGATTTTGTTATATTAGAGGCTTTCAGTAAATATGTCCATTCTATTGTTAAAAGGATGTGCTTAGAGTGCAAACTGTAAGTAAATTGTTGACATTGCTGCATCATGATCCATCAAACCATCCATTTTAAATTGAAATTGTGATGGTTGGTTCTAATCTTGGTCAGCAAGTGGTGAAACATTGTTTGGACCGCCACTTTATTTTCAACAAATTAAAAATTATATGTTTTTTATATTTTTTGTTCTACAAAATATATGTTAGAATGCACCAAATCAATTGAATTTTCCCAAATTTTCTTGTGAGAAAAACCTTTAAGGTGCACTATAAGGGACTTGCAACTATGACACCTGCATAGATTTGCATCATTTTGAATTCAACTTCGACAGTGTTTCCCCCCCCCCCCCCCCATTAAGTCAGTCTGCCCCCTATTTGTACCCCCCCAGTCTTGGTAGGCTGGCGCCAGCACTGGATCCATTTGCTGGCCAGGATTCACAAGTGCTCAAGTTGTTATTGTACGTCATAGAATTTCATTTATTAGCAATCAAAGTTATTAAATTCAGCTTTAAATTTCAGTGTTAAAGCATCATTATTTCCACCTTTTACCCTTATGTAGTGTGATTTTATGCAATTGGAGACAAACTGAGAGTTGTATTCACATTCTCGAAAGTGTGCAGAAAATTATTTAATGGTTACCTATATCAACTTTATTTTTTTCAGAATTCCTTTTCCAACTAAAGATATTAGCGTACAAACGTTTAAACCAAAATCAGCCAATGTGTTGTCACAGTATTTCATCAAAAAATATGCACGATCTTTTCAGGTGAGAACTTATTGGGAAACCAAATATGTTTGATTTATTCTTCTTGTAATTATGTCCAGTAGTGTGTACATACGTCCAATGCTCTGTGTATGTATGTCTAAGACTCTGTGTATGTATGTCTAATGCTCTATGTCTAATGCTGTAAGTTTTATAATGCTGATATGCTACTATTGTGTCTAATGTATGATTGTCTAATGTTTCTCTACATGTATGCTTGTCTAATGTTTCTCTACATGTATGATTGTCTAAGGTTTCTTTACATGTTTCTGTACATGTATGATTGTCTAATGTTTCTGTACATGTATGATTGTCTAATGTTTCTGTACATGTATGATTGTCTAATGTTTCTCTACATGTATGATTGTCTAATGTTTCTTTACATGACTGTATGATTGTCTAATGTTTCTCTACATGTATGCTTGTCTAATGTTTCTCTACATGTATGCTACTAATGTGTCTAATGTATCTTTGTCTAATGTTTCTCTACATGTATGATTGTCTAATGTTTCTCTACATGTATAATTGTCTAATGTTTCTCTACATGTATGATTGTCTAATGTTTCTTTACATGTTTCTCTACATGTATGCTTGTCTAATGTTTCTCTACATGTATGCTACTAATGTGTCTAATGTATATTTGTCTAATGTTTCTCTACATGTATGATTGTCTAATGTTTCTCTACATGTATAATTGTCTAATGTTTCTTTACATGTATATTATATTG